TGTGGGCGCGATTGAAGCAGAAAAGGGTTTTTACTGTCCGTATATCCGGAGTATTAGGGAGAATTGGTGAGAGTTTTATGTGGAATTCGTTAAGAGCTCAGCTGTCGCTGTTCGCTCTACCATTTGTAATAATTATAGTTACAAGGGGGGTGAAGTGTCGTTAGTGTGCAAGGTGCGTGCAATTTTTTGCAGTGTGTTTGGTTAAAGTTTCTCGAGAACATTTGTAGCATGTTGCTTGGGAATTTGGTAATTATTGTTGGCTACTTTAATTCATATTTGGTAATCATCTGAAGGTAGAGCTGGAATACAATTTTTCTTTTTGTCACATCTTGACTATAATCTGTATAATTGTGTTATTGGTCGTTACAAAGCAGAGAGTTAAAGGATAAAATAAATTGCAAAGACGATTTACAGGATTAGAGAAAGCAAAATACTTTCCTCTAAAAGTCGAGAACACCGCATAACGATACCAACCAGTTTGAAGAAGAAAAGAAGATCACAAACGCGGCATAAATCAAATATCTTTTTAATTTGAATCCAGAAACTTTACCTACCTACTGTATTTACCCAATCGCGATCAAAAGAATTAGGTTACAAGCAGAGGCACCAGGTAGCAAATTACAGGGGATTAAAATCGCTCTGGTCTTTACACTGCCGCGTCAAACACAAACGCACGCACATCGTAGCCTCTGCTCTATGCTCTTTCATCCTCCGCTCTTTTTTTCCCCCCCACGCATTATATAGCGGTCGAACTTAAAGCGCCGCGATCATTTATTCACAGCCCGAAGGAAGTTCTCCCGCCTGGCTATAATAAGATTAACCATTCAGGGTCGCAGTTTTACCATGGTGTTACGTTGGATCGTTTTACTGCTCGCTAGCTCGTTAAACGAAACCTTCGAAGATCGTGGTCGATTCAACTGTTCGTTAAAAAAAAAAAGAAGAGAAAATCACCACTGTGTGGACGCACGTCCTAAAATTTCAACCCCCGTTGTTACTTCTAGACACGAAGGAGGAGGAGGAAGCGGATGACGAGGACGAGGAGAATTATCCCGTGGACGATTACGACTACGGTGACTACGAGGCCGCGACCATAACCAGCGATACAGATCTAATCGCTGGTGGCTCGTTGCCGATCTTCCTCGCGGAACCGGTGAACACGTTCGTCGTGAAGGGGAAGCCGGCGATCCTTCATTGCCGCGCCGCACATGCTCTTCAGGTACGGTGAACCACTGTGCGAGAAATCCGAGAAACGAACTTCGTACACGGTGTGTCTGAAAGAGCCTGAAACACGCCACTTCCCGTGTCCCAATTTCACCCGTGAAAATCGACAATTACGGTAGTTCATCGGTTCAACAGCTTCAACAGCCTGACATTTCTTACGTGTTTCAAGCATTTTCTTTCTTTTCTTTTTCTCTCCACCGAGAGAACAATAAAAATCACGCGATAGAAGGTGAAAGAGAGGGGTTAACAAAGGGTTCTCCAAGTAGACGTCACTTTTCCAAGGTAGAAAGGAGGACGCCTTTTTGGCTCGTGGTGTTGGAAAGGGGTGTACGGGTATTTTCACGCTTTCGTGAAACACGAAGCTCAGGCTTGCCCGTCATTTTCCACTCGCCAACCCTTATTAACCACTCGAGGTGCCCTAACGTGGACAACCCGGTCTCTCTCTCTCTCTCTCTCTCTGGCTCTTTTCACGCGCCGCCAATTAACCAGCCACCTTATTCCGGCCGCTGCATTGCAGGTGTATTTTCTGTGTAACGGTGACCGGATTGAGCAACGGTCGCAGCAGCAGGATTTTGTCGACCCTCGTACCGGAACGAGGGTCGTGGAGGTCGAGTTGAACGTGACGAGGAACGAGGTCGAGGAGTACTTCGGCAGGGAGAGGTTCAAGTGCGAGTGCGTGGCATGGTCGGCACCAGGTCAGATTCGAGGGCGTCCCGCCACGGTTGAGGTCGCCTGTAAGTAGAGAACACTCCAATCTATCCGTTCGGTTCACTCTCTTTCTCTCGCGGAGCTTCGATGGTAGACCCTGCGAGTCTACCTCGAGGTCGGTCTTTGCCACTTGCTCCTCGGCGAGATGCGAGAAGAAATTTTTGGGCAATTTAACCGTGAAGGCAGCACGCAAAGCGGTAGATTCTTGCATTTTTATTTATTTAAAAAATCGTATTCTTCTTCTTGTAAAATTTTGTTTGGAAAGTGTTAACTTAACAAAATTTGTGTCACACTGTAAAATTTTGCATTTTCTGTTTGAGGGACCGAGGCACAAATTGAACATATATTTGTTTCTCTTTAATCATTTTCATTTGGAAAATAATGCTGAGGATTTTTAAATTCGTTTTTAAACACCAATATGTTTATTTTTTCTTCCAATAGTTTCCCAATCTCTCCTGCATATTATTCCTTGAAAACCAAGCGCAATAATCCTGCTGTACTCTCAAAAGTGTTAAAAAAACGGGCGCTAAATTTTTATCGCTTTACCAAGGATCGAGTGTTACCGTGTAATTAAAAAGAACGTCCCGGTCGGAATAATAGCCGCCATAATTCCAATCGTGTTGCGCGAGAGGAAAAAAGAGGAGAAGAAGAGAGAAAAAAAGAAGGGGCAGAACAGACGTCGAGGGGGGTGAATAGAAGCGTCGGGAACGAATTAACGCGCAATTGTAGCGTATTCGAGCCGGGGTCGTGAAAGTGGGATTTAGCCTGAGCGGCGTGGCGCGGTCGAAAGAGAGAAAACGGCCAAACTAGCGCCTGGAATCGGTCATAAAACGTAACTTCATTAACCCGATTAGCGCGAGCTGACTCTCGAACCAGCAGGGGAGTTTTCGAGATACCCGGCGCGAAATTCACTCTCTGGTAAACTAACGCTGTCGACGAGGGTTAGCCGAACGGTGGCGCGAGGGACGCCGCGTACGCTTGTTTTCATCGGATATCTCGTGACGCGTAAACCGAGCCCAAAATCTAATCGATATTCTATTGCAAAGCAAACACCTGTGAATACAGAATCGGTGAACTACCTTCCGTACCGCCCCCTCGTTCTTTTTTTTTCTTCCTTTTTTTTCGCTGCCGGCCCCCCGGGAGCGGGCTGAGGCAAACCAGCGTGTATTGTCGGTATGCAAATTGAGTGAGTATCCTGTGAACCGCGGTGCCGCCGGACGCGTGACAGCGTGACTTCAGGTCTGCGACATTTGCGTTCAATTTTTGCGAGAAAAGAAAGGCAGTTGGGCTCGACACATTTTTATTTAGACGCAGGTAATTGTCGTATTATGATAGGACATTTAACTGAAGCAAGTGCTTCTTGGGTTGCCTTCGTTAATTTTTTTTTATATTGCAAATGTATTCCTAGTAGAATCTCAGAGATGTAGCTTTGGCCATTTATACTGTGTAAAATTGTGCAATTAAATTTTGAAAAATTTGTTAAGATAAAAAAACATTCTCCAGTATCTTTATTTTAAAAATTTTGATCTCTTCGTGAGGTTCGAAAAATGAAATTTTCATCGTAACATGTAGATTTCAAGGTACTCTAAGAGGTGTTTCCTCCCCGAAGAACCAAAAAATATTGAAGTTCCCTACAAACTGCAAAATTTAAAAAAAATCAAAGACACCCTGTAAATTTATTGGAATGTCATAATAGGTAAAAAAAAAAGGAACCTCGTCTATTTTCATCTGTACACTTCATATTACGCTGCGTTAGAAAGATTTTCCAAGCAAACTCCGTCGTTCTAAACAGGAGAACCAGCCGCAGTTCTAAACTAATTGAAGTAGCCATCGTGATTATTTCAAAAGCGTCCCGTTAGCCGCTTCATTCACAATTTCCATTCACCTGGCGTGCATCTCGCGTATAGACAAAACCGAAGAGATTGTTCCCACGCACGCGGAATGTTGAAGAGTCGAAAGAGCAATTTTCGTTCAGACGATTCGCGGCGCGCAAACATGCGAGAGACAAACAGGACGCAGAATTAAATGCGTATTTGCGCGCAAACAGGAAACGGACGTGCTTTCGAAATTGAATACGCGGCGTATCGATCCGCGCGGCGTCGCTTCGCGTCGCGATCCACCTCAGGAACCATCCGCTGATTTAATCCCACGGTAATTTCGTTTATAAACCCCGGAAACGATGATTCGCCACGAAAACGCCGCTTAATTTCGAAGCTGCTAGCGCAGAAATTCCTAGCCGTTGCCTGTGAAATCGCGTCGTAACACGCGATCAGCTTTGTCGGAAAAGTCATAGAGCAAGTTACACAGAAATATTGTTCGAAATTGCTGTAGACACCTGTATTATCCTTGGATTATACACTGTGCTGTTACTTTCTTGCAGTATTTTGTGTAATACAAAACTGTGCTACCTGATAACGAATCTAAAGAAGGGAATTTTTTTGGTCTCAAAGCAGTATAGCCTCAGAACGAATAATCTTCTCTAAATACTTGACAATTATTTCTACAGTCTCAAACTACTCTGTTACGACCCTGAAATTTTTCTTAAAAAAATACTTCTTCTCCTTACGATTTCTGACATTTAAAACTATAGTCACTAACAAATTTATTTACGAAGACAAAGCTATTAGCAGGTAGCACAGTCACTCTCACCTAATACTTACGAACGAGAGTGTATCTTGAAACACACACGACACGAGTCTCCATCTAATCGTTCATACTATCCATTCGCATGAGCATTAAAAGCATCCCTACGGTACAGCAATATGGCATCATCGGGGTCAAAGGTAGTCTAGACGCCCAGGGATGAGGGCAAGAATGTAACCGGGCGGATCGGTGAGCGTACACCGTTGCTTACCGCGTGCTCTCTTCCCTTCACGAACGATATAAAAGCGGCTATTTTTCCGCGTATCCGCGGCACACCGAATAATATGCCGGACGAATAGCCACCCTCGTGGCCGTGTGCACGGATCGAGCGAATCTTTTTCTGCTTTTCCTGGCCAGAGCGTAGTAGCCGTGGCTCGAGTAGCGAAGAGCATAGAGACGCGGCCCATGAAAGCGCCCCTGCATTTATACCCGCGCCCTAATATCGCTGAGTGCCCTACTCCCTCGTTCCTGTCTCCCTTCACC